AATAAATGTGACAACACTGAAATATTAGAAATATAGATATAATTATTTATAAAAGATAGCGTCTCGATTCTTCACAATACTGTTTACTTTTTCTTTATCCTTATTTGTACTTGTATATTTAGTACTATTAGCAGTAGGACTTCGTTCATATTTATATATGCAATGTGGATTGTCGATACGAATAGGTTCCTTCACAATTCTGCGGATGATTCCCTTAACAGAGTAAAGCACGACATTGCTGTGCTGAGAACCTGGAAGGACCGATCACTTCAGCCAAAAGAACATACACTGTATTATTTAATTCAGGAAATAAACTACCGCGCTGTCATTCATATTATTTTCACGATTTCTAACAGATGCAATAATACATATACGATCAATTACCGACGTGTAAGTTTCTAAAGAAACAATAGAAAATCCACTGGTCGTTAAACAGCAAGGTTTATTAGATCTCAATATGATCATCTTTACGTTGCGTCGCAAATTCTTGCCAACTATGCTCATAGGCATCGATTGCCACTGAGTAGAATATACTGCATTAGCAACGTCCATACTCTGTCTCATTAGTAGATCGCAACTATAAGTAAGCATGTATAACTGGCAGAGGAGAACGACCATGTTCAACATTAAACTAACATGCCTCGCGGGTGGTGTTTCCATCTATAAAAATTTAAACAATATTCCAATCAATAAGCGAGAGCAAAAGAATAATTCTGAATAGATTATACATATGTACAAATATTAAAAAGATATACTTTTGTAGGATTTTCTGTGTATTTCTAAAAATAATGATCAAATTACATCAGGCACTGACCAAAAATAACTGATACCCAACGAGGCATAATACCAGAGAAATGAAGAGCACTTGACCAAGTACTATCAAAGAAAATATATTCTCTAACTCCTTGCAGAATTCAGTGATGATTTGATGACGTCTTACATATTGTTTCAATTTATCGTTAACCGCGTTCATGTAATCGCTCGATTCCAAATCTGCGTCTTTCGCGACGTCGGATGTCAAGTTGATCAGTCTGTGTCGCAGTATGCGAAATTGAATAACCGCGTGGAGATTCGCAATGCATAAAACACTATCAAAGCACATGGAGCACATACCGACGTGATAGACGCAAAGGATCTGCATAAGCGGAAGTTATGAATTTATTTCGACTTTATCTTGCCCACGTGTTATTTATAATTTAAAATAAGAGCCGTGAGAAATATTCATACGTTATTCCTGACCTGTACAGTAAACAGAATTTCGAAATAAGGCGACATTGATGTAGGAAAATCAACCCACATATTAAACGGTAACATTCTTTCTGATTCATTCCTTCCAATATTCGCTGAAATAGTGAATAGACATTTCTTATCCTCTTACGTCAAGTGTTTTTAGTGATAAGATGTAATTAATTTTATTGAAAGTTGCTTTTGAATATAACTGAATATGGAGGGAAATCTTGTACATGTATACATATATTTTGCATACCTATAAGTGGTGTTACCATGTAACCGGTGCAGGTGCCTTGAGTACAAAAAGTAACAATAATGGTGAAAATAACGCATAGCCTTTTGCCATCATTTAAGATTAACTTCTCATCGGTATTGTACTTCGCATTCCAAAAGGTCTTTTGCATGAATCTAATTAAATCGTAAAACTCCCTCCTGTGCGCGTACAGAACAGAGATTTTAAATAGATCGATCGCCAGGTAAGATATGTTGCATGCGATATAAACGCAATCCTAAAATTACATAATAAATATACATACATAAAATCGCGTTCGTTAACGTTTATATAATTCCTAGGCTTTTATAAACAACTATTGCAATATTTATTATTATCCCATATTTGAAGATTATTAAATACGAAACTTTTATATCTCTAACATTATCAATCTTAGTATCAGTTATTTACAAGAATATAAAAATTATACAGACGTTAACTTACTTTCCTGTGAAAGATAAAAGTCAGAAATTAATAGAAAAAAGTGTCGTACTCAAATTGCGAAAAGAGTGTAGGATTATCATTTTTAACTCACGCTAAAATTCCCCCAGGAAAAATAAATATCTCTGAATGCGATGAGTGTGCCAATCAAAATCGTGTTGATCGTATACATCAGTGCGAACTTTCGGTGACGTTTTTCGTCCTCGTTATCCGCAAGCCACAGACCTGCAATTTTCAGTAAAAAGCTAGTCCACGCTATCGAGATATCTTTATTCCGCGCGGCACGCATGACGAACGTCGACTAGTTGAAAGAATCGAACCGATTTTACGGGAACAACATTCAATCGATATTTCTTTCCCATGTAGAAAGTCGCCTTTTTAATTTGTCAATCTTCTTAGGTGTCACACGTTACATGCTTGAATTTCAATCATTCGAGTCTCACACGAAGTGCAAGTATCCCGACGACAGGAATGCATTATTCATAATTACGGAGGAAGAGAGTGACAGCAACGAGGAATGTAAAGACTGTCCTGTCGCCTTCTAACTGAATGAGAAATGTATGCAGTTATGGTGTGGACGATATGGAAAATGAGAAAGATTTTTTACTGTCATCGTTATAGTTTGACTGGGTTATATCGTGAACCTTTTACGTCTCACAATCAGTTTTCGGAGCATCCAGTCAAGTATCTGTTTTCGTCAAAGAATACATTTTATTCGTTCTTCACTTCTAAGACGTACATAAATATATCAGTTCGATTTGCAATTTATTTCATATTTTAATGGAACATTTTGGAAATCTACCCTCAAGTATTTAGTTATTCGTCGACATCTACCTGATTCCTTAACAGTGTAAAATACGACACCGCCGTACTTAAAATCTGTAAATCGAATAAATTCAGAATATTCTAAAATACAGTCAGTATAAAAACAATATTCGCTGCAACTATATAATAAAATTATGTAAAAGTTCAAAAATTAATTGGCAGTGTTTTAATTAATTTAATAATAAAATTTAATATAAAAAAATTAAAATATTTTGGCTATTTTCAAAAAAGAATAACATTTAATAGCCACTGAAAATTATTAGATTGGCCACGATTAATACAGTAATAGGAAGAAGTAGCATTACCCCGGCGTACGTTTCCAACGAGACAACGGCGAATCCGCTGGCAGTCAGACAACAAGGTACTTTAGCTCTCATAATGATGAATAGTAAATCTTTTCGAATCATTCTCCCATTGTGGTCTAACGGTAACAGAGGCCAAAAGCTTCCGTACCCGGCGTGAGCCACTTTCGTACTTTCTTGTATCAAACAGTCACAACTGTACGTGAACATCAGCAATTGACAAAAGCAACCCGATATATGAAATCCGAACACTAAACGCCTTGATCCGGGTGCGTCTTCCTGTTCAAAATGTAATCATTACCAGAAATGAAATTTATTTTCTGAACAAAATACTAACCATGACTATTAAGTATCCGTCCAGACATATCAATAAGCTGAAGAGCAACACCTGGCCAAGGACCATCGGACTGAATACTTCTTCGAGCAGTCTACAATAATTTATCAGCGCTTGATGTTGTTGAATTGTGTTCTTGAACAATGAATAAATGTCTGTACTGTTCGGTTTCTTTTCGGAGATTTTGTATTTCTCTTCACGATTGATCATCCCCGTGTTCTTCAGTCTGTATTGCAGTATACGAAACTGGCTAGCGGTGTGCAGGTTTATGATGCATAAGAAATTATCAAAGCAAATGTACATCACGCCCAGCTGATACAAAATAGCTACCTGTAGACATTTAGAACATGTAATTATTTTTATTTAATCAATCATACTTAAAAAGTTTACACGAATTCGTACTATTGTATCTACAAGGCATTTAATTTGCAATTGATATCTATATGTTTGTTTTATGAAAATAATATTATTGACTAGCAAAGAATTTTCTATAAAAGTCACGAATAATTTGAAGAAGTTAATTTTTTTAATAATTTTATGTCAATATTTTCGAATGCATTTAATGGAGCTTGGACAAGTAGAAGTGAAGAAAATTCGTAGCACCTGTACCGCAAACGCTACTTCGAAATAAGGTGTCATTGACAGTGGCAGGTCGGACACTGGCATATGAAACGGAAGTACGCGCTCCGATTCATTTTTTCCAATATTCGCTGAAAAAACATTAATAAATTTTCTTCTCAGTGACTGCTTGAGACACCTTCTCTTGATTAACAATTAGAAAATAAATAGAATATACTTGACTCGTTCCTTCGTGTTTCTAATCGAACTTCTCGATGAAAATTCACGGTTGAAAATTCTAATCTGATCGTATAGAGTAATTTCATAAATGACTCACCGACGATCGGTGTAACTACGTAACAGACGATGGTCCCCTGAGCGAAGAAATTGAAGACACAAACGAGAAGTACACAGGTATGTTTGCAGTTGTCGACGATACTTTGCTCGTATGGATCATAATTAGAGTGCCAGAAATTTGTCTGCGCGTATTGAATCAAACTGAGTAGTTTCGCTTTACGTGTGCACGAGATGAGGACCTTGATTAGGATTACGATTACGGTTAACATGTTGCACGCGAGATACATGCCATACTGTAACCAAAATTCCGTATCACAATGAGGGAACTTTTCGTTTAACAACTTCTGCAATTTTCAATATTATCTAAAAAATTTTATTATCACTGTACTTCTCACTCACGCTGCGATCACCCCAGGTAAAATAGAAGTCCCTCCCTTCGACTAAAATCCCTATGATGAGCGTGAAGATCGCGTACATTATCGCGAATTTCATTTTTCGCTCCTCGCTGCGGCTGGACGTCAGCCAAAAACCGGTGAGTTTCATATAAAACGACGTTACGGTGATAGAGAGATCCGGCTTCTCCTTCGTGGTCATCGTTACGGCTTTACGAGCTATCTATACTGGCTTATAATTCTTAACAAGAGCCTACACCTACCACCCTATTATCTATAGCAAACGCTACCACTCGAGGTGAAGTGAGAACGACGCCGAGTCCCTTTGATCCTCTAGTCACTTTTGCAATGCCAATCCAGACTGACTGCGTCAACGTATCAATCCATCTTCGTTGATGGGCTCCGCGCGACAACGAAAGGTTCGAATTAATTATGTACGAAGATTTTAAGCTTGATGAGCGAACGTTTGAGTCTACAATGTTTGTGTGACCGAATCGCGTAGTTTCTCTTATTGGAAGCACGCGAGAAGTTAACTGGTCATATTCTACCTTGTTACAAATGTAAAAAGTCTTCTCGTGGCGTGCTGCATAATTAATAAAAATTCCGTTCTGTCCAATTGTATAATTTTTAGAGTGTATAAGTTACAACACTGTATTTAATTCAAGATAGATTTTATTAATACATTCAAGAGGCAGCATATTCCATGTAAGATGTAAGTTTCGTTGTAAGATTTTAATTCTCGTGCAATTTATCAATTCTGCCTAATATGATTTCAGTCGTTAAGGGACTGCCTTAGTATTGTGAAGTACGATGTCGCGGTACTGATTACCTGTAAGAAAAGTACTTCATATTCTTTTTTTATTTGAAATACGTAGAATTTCAGTGAACCCAGTTAACGATCACTAGGATGATATACAGTGTGGCTCAAATATTATCACTCAGATTTTCGTCGTTTTTATTTAAAACACGTAAAGAAATTTCAGTGAGCAAAGTTAATCATAGGATAATATACAGTGTGGTTCAGATATTTCCACCCTGATTTTCGTTATTATTATTATACATAGCAAAGAATATTTATATATATTGTTGAATGGTTTCGGGAGAGATACATTAATTGAATGAATACTTTTTGCAGAGAATGTAGAGTAGGCATGCCCAACTCATTTCTCCCCACCTCGCGCAATAGTCACAATAACTCAGCGGACCATAATGCGCTCATACTATTTAACCATGTTTTCTATGATTCAGTATAAAAAAAGATTGCATACCGTAGTGAAGGTTTCGACAGAGACGGGAAAGAATCCGGCAGCGGTTAAACAGCACGGCTTCCCGGATCTTACTATAACCATTATCAAGTCCTTCCGTAGACTCGTACCGATCCTATTCATCGGCAGATCTATCCAAGGCCCAGAGTATATCGCGGTTCCAACATTCATGCTCTCCTCTATTAAACCGCTGCAGCTGAACGTGAACAGTAGCAACATCAACAAGCTACCCGTTATGTGGAACACAAAAATTAGCCGCCGCGTTGGAGGTGCATCGGCCTACGTATTAAATAAAATGCAACATACTCAATTTTAATAACTAGTGCAAAAGCATGAAACGAGGTTCTATAAAAAATGTAGAACTTAATTTTTTTTGGCAAAGTTGTGTGTGCGATGAAAAGGAATGATTATTATGAAGTACTAAGGGAAATCTAGAAATTAGGGTGGCTACGTACCAAAAATACTTGGTAGCCAACCAGGCAGAGGAGTATGGTGTAAACTAATACGTGGCCTAACACAATCATCGTAAAT